TATTATGTTTTTGCAAGTCACCAATTCTACTTGCTTTTCTGGAAGGCAAAACCATGCATAAATAGACTCAATTTTGTAGTTTTTTCCCAAAGGGGAAAACCCTGCACGGAAGCAGGTGGCTTGACAAATGATCAGTCTACAGAATTCAGTGTCTTCCCTAGGTAAGGAGTACACGGAAAAACCTAGGCTAACAACATTAATACTCTATGACATTATCAGAAGAATTGACAAAAGAAACTTTATATAAATAGTATATAATAGTCTGCTCTAATGACTAAACAACAATTCGTGTTCCTTCTAGAATACCAATAAATTGCTAAGTAAATCTGAAAAATACATTCCTTCCAGCCCTCTAGCTATAGTGTCCTGTGGTCACTCTGGGTCCCTGCTTCCTTCCTTCTCTGCCAATGAGCACTTCTGGGGTCTCTCAAAAGACAAACTCCCACCTCTGTGCCTGTGGAGAGCTGACAGCTGCCCTCTGTTCAGATCACGAGGAAGTGAGGAAAGAAGCAGGCCCCGGGGCACTGACCACATCAGTACTCAAGACACCCAGTGTGCAATAGACCCAACGGTCACCTTAATGGCCACACTCCATGATGAAGTGCTAAGAAAGTTCTCTAAGACAATGGAAGTCACCTGTGGTCAAGTGGTGAGCAGTGGTAAAACAGAGTAAAAACCTGCAGCTCGGGGCTTGGGGTCTGTCATTCCTACAGCACGGAGTCCAATTACTTCTCACAGGATAATATCAATAAAATGTGATTTAAATTCAAACCCATCACTACCTCTGGGTAATTTAGGGAAAGGATTAGTCTCTTGATCTTGAATCTCCTTACTTTAAATTGGAAGGGCCTCTAACATAGAAACAATGTTCCCATAAAATACTTAATATTCAGAGAACATAGCCAAGGCTAAACTTTTTGTTTTAGCTGATGCATTTGAAGAATGGAGCTGTATAGATGTGGTCTGAGAAAATAAGCACATATTTCTTTTTTTGTTTTCAGACCCTCAGGTAATAGTTGGTATCTCTTTTTAGGTTTACCTCATTTGAAAACAATGTTCTTCCTCAGTAGATGCAGAGATTTGAGAGCAAGGTGGTCTCTAAGCCTCTGCATCAATTAGGAGGAGGAGTTCAACTTGCAGTTGACTATTTGACCAGTTGGTAACACTTCTTCCTTGTAATCTTCCCTGCTTTTCCTGTGAACTCAACTCATAGCAAGAAGCTGATTCAAAGGAATTGAATTTTGACTTAAGTAGCCTGATATGTGAGCAAGATGCAGAAAAAACCTTCAGGACAAAATGGTGCAGAACCAGGCACCACAGGCGTAGAAGAGTCTCAGCCGGCATGCTCTCTGGTCAAGTACCAGGCTCTTTTCTTTTCCTCAGGCATCCAAAGGTGGGTGCTGAGAGGCCCTCTTGCAACCCTCCACACTCTTCCATTCTTGCTCTGCTCTTATAATTCAATCTATTTTTCATGACTCTAGTAAAGACCTTTGTAGGACACTCTTAAATCTTGCCTCTGGTCTTGAATCCCCTCCTGCAAATTTTAGTCCTGCAATTCCAAAGCTTTGTGGGCATCTTTAGTCATTTCAAATTCAACATGTTCAGAGCCAAGCTCATCAAAATTAATTGATTGATATTTGTTTATTCATTCATTCATTTGCTTATTAACACTGGGCTAGATACTGGCACAGTTGAGAACAAGGCATTCCTTGATTTTAAGGAGTTTAGACCTGAACCCAAATTGAATAATCAGAATTTATTATTCCAGGAAGATAAGAGTGACCTCCTCCCAATACTTTTGACTCCTTCAAGTCAAGGAAGTTCAAATAGCTGGTTTAAGACTTATTTGCTATGGTAAGCCCAGGATCCTGACTTGCCAATTTCTACCAAAGACATCAAGATTTCTCCCAGTCTGTTGAGTTGCCATCTGAGGAGTTGTAATTCCTCACTATGTCTCATCCTCCATGGCCAGTCAGGGAAAAGCGCTCAGTGTCTTCCTTCTGAATGTCTCTTACACCTGTTACTTCCTTTCCTTCTGGACCCCTCTCAGACCATTCCAGATCAGTGTCACCCTCCCATATACCCCTGATCTTGGCTGCAGAGATGTTCAGTCTCCACGGCCCCTCCTGTACTGGGCGTTTCCCCTGCTTGACCGGCACCACCCACCTCACTCTCTGTCCACCATCCTCCAATTCAATCCACACATGAGTACCAAGGTAAACTTTCAAGAATCCCCTGAGCCCATCGTGCTCCTGTTCTGAACCCTACAGTGAGTCTCAGGTACCCTCAGCATCATCAACCAATCTAGAACACCAACACCAATGGATGCTTTGTGGAGGAGAGGTCTGTGGCCATAGCAAAACAATGCTTGTACTCTGCCACGGGGAAAGTCACCTTCCCTTGAAATACTTTTCCCAAAATTTATTTGGCCAAAATACTCCCTTTTGTACCACCTCTCAGATCCAGTGTCTCCAGAAAAACATGGTCGGAGGAGATGAGATGTAGACTGAGTCTGGTGGCCAGCACTTCCTCCCCTCTCCTTCCCAGCCAGAAAAACTGTTCTCCTCATTGTTATTTAACCTGACATGAACCTAAGAGTTCCTGTCGTCTTTGTTTTCATAATTTACCCTACTGGAAGCATTCTCTTCCACTTCCATTTAATTAAATCTTACCCTTCCTCCAATATTCAGTTCAGATCTCCCTCCTATAAATCCTTTCCCAAATCTCTCATCTGAGACTACTGTAGCTTTTATTTACCTCTATCAAAAAAAGATCTCTCCACAATAAAAAAAATACATTGTGCTGAGAAACCAGAGAAATAGCAGAATTTCCCCATCAAACATCTTCAAAAGTAATTTATGAGGTAAGATTATATAACACTCATGAATCAGAACTGGTATTTATATAAAATGATCAGGATCTTTAAGTTGGGAAAAAAGGGAGATTTAACATCAATAACTAATTCATTACATCTGACATTGAAATCTTCAGAATAATAGGAGGAAGACAGTAGGAAAATTTCATATTTTCATTTTCATTTAGTAAAAATTGATAAAAAAACAGCTAATGAATAAATACTATTACAAGAATAAAAAACTGAATAATGTAGAGAAGAGACAAAAATCATTATAGACACTATAATGACCACTTATGAATATTCAAAGTGAATCTTACCCCTTCCTGTTTCTGGCAAGCTTTATTCTACCCAAAATAAACAAGTTAGCTTCATCATTTAAAAATTACCATTTCTATGTATTACTACTAAAAAAAATGTTTTTCTTCCTAATGGGGAAAAGATGCCTTATGATAAGGGTGCCCAGTTCAGTTCCTATGTGGAATTCAAAAGCACACTGAAGACCAGGCTTTAATATGTATGCATCTCCATCACGAAGCTTTGGGTTATGGGAGGAAGCATGAGGAGAGAAAACTGAGATGATTCAAGACTTTCTACTTCTGACTTGGAAAGGGACAGAACCCACGTGCAGACATCCTGACACAGCCATCCACTCCCAGAAGGCAACAAGAAACAGGATGAGCAATCGTCAGCCTGGCTCTCCACCAGTGGCTGGGAGGAATCTTGGACTATGTGGACCTTGGCATGTCTGAGATTATCATGACTGGCTGCTCTTCCCAGGCTCTGCCCAGCTCAGCGTTTTGCTTGATTGCTCCAGTAATTCCTTCCTGATCTTTTCCATATCTTTGTACTTGACCTATTTTTACTTTTAGTCCTCATTTTGATTTAACTTCTTGCTGGACTGACTCATTATATTGGGAGATCCCTTTGTTCAGCTGAGCCCTGGAGAGTCTTCAACATGACAAAAGATTCAGCCTCAATCCACATCTCCAACCTTATTTCTCTACTTGAACCCTTTGTTTGAGCAAACCTATCTACCCTTAGAGCCTCAGATGCACACTTACAATGTTGTTCTCCCAAAAGTACTGCCCTGCCCTGCAAGACCCAGTTCAAGGTTCTTCTCTCAAGAAGCCTTCTCTAATATCTTAGCCAATGACAGGGACTGCAGTCATTGAACTAGTGTACTATTCTTATTCTCATCACCAGTGATTCACACAGTGGGTTCCATAAAACATCAGATTTAGATGACATCTTTGAGGCGAAAGCTCCCTTTTGAAGATTTATAGCACACATTACCATCCTTGAGACTTTTTTGAAGTCTTATAACAAAGAGACCTTTTAAACAATATTGAACTTAGTGTTTCTCAAACTTATTTAGCCAGAGAACCTCTTTTTCCCATCATATATTTTAATAACAATTTGGAAATGCGGATGTAAGGAAAATGAGTCTGAACAAGTCAGTGACATTTCCCACAGATGACTTTGTTACTCTAAGATGTTTAGTTCTCAGCACACAAAGTGCCTGGTACAGACCATGCAGTCAATAAGCCTTTATTGAGTGAATTAAGGACGATATCATTCTCGATTCTGGTGACTTTGCCCTCCAGGAGACATTTGACAGGTCTGGAGCCAGTTCGGGCTATCCGCTAGCATCTAGCGGGTAAAAGTAAGGAATGTGATTAAACATTCTCCAAGGTACAGGATAAAGAATTATCCACCCACAAATGTCAATAGTGCTGAGGCTGAGAACTCCTGCTCTATGATCAGGCTAATCTGGGATGAATTTATAACTGTTGACACTAGCTGCTTGGCCTTAAACAAGCTTTGGGATTTCTCCAAGTCTTAATTTCCTTGTCTGTAGACTGAGGTTTCAATGATATACTGTAGGGTTGTTGTAAGATAACATGCATACACATGAGATAAACTGTGTAATCCACATGAAACATTCAGCAGTGACTGGTGCCTAGAAGGTGAGACTTAGGAACATTCTTGCCATAGCCTTCATCCAATGTCTCATACTGTTCAAAAGTCCCTTCAGGCAGAATGTTTACTTTCTCGGAACTCATGACAGGAGGACCCTCATCAAAATGGGCCCTGGATTCCCATTTAGATTTACTGGACAGTCAGGTTTTATTTATGCACTCACCAGGGGCTCGATGGTGAAAACACTGTTAAAATTGAGCATGTGGTCTACTTGAACCGCCCTCCTCTGGTGCTTGAAGGTGTGGGAGATGATGGAAAGACGCTGTCGGAGTGAAGGGTCGAGGATGAACTCTTCCATAAATGCGTCAGTCTCATCTTTTTCCTCTTTGGCCAGGTCATTACAGACCCTAAAGAAAATACAGAAAATGCGAGCTGCAATTTGGTCCTCCCAGGAAGAACTTTATATGGGGCTCCCCTCCAGTCCCTCCTCCTGGCTCTCCTCCAGTCCCTCATCTGTCACCCTGGGATGGTCCCTCCATCCCAGGGTAAGATAGTGGCTGTAAGGTAGTGGCTGGATGACCTTTTTCTCAGTCCTCAGACCTTTCAGAGGCTCACTTGGCTCGCCTTTAGTCACTTCCTTCAAGAAGTCCTCCTGGGATTTCTCTCCTTCCCAGTGCCCATTTGTTTACTTCTGAGCCCTCACGTGTCTGGACAAATACTTTCCTTTAGGTAACTCTTTTCTAAGCTGCTTTTAAAATATTTAACATCTATCCTGCCTCTCACACTGCAAGGATGATTTTGTTTCTGTTAAACTTGTTTAGCTTTACTTACTTCTTAGCTACTAGTTACCTTGGGAATAAATTCTGGAGCCAGCCAGGACCAGGTTTGGATACTGATTTTACGATCTATTTACCAGTTCTGTGACTTTGGGATTTACCCAATTTTTCTAAGCCTTGGTGTCTGCCCCTGTAAATTACAGATAATAAGAGCAGAGCTCTTTTGTCAAAGAAATGAGGGTTAAATGCAACGCAGGGTCTGGTGCGGCTCCTGGGGCAAAGCAGATGGGGCTCCATCAATTTTAGTTTTCTCCTTGGCTCCACCATAGGCAAACCACACTGCTCAGCTTAGAAAATGCTCAAGCTACACCTGTAGCCAGCTCCTTTTCTTTCCTTCTAGCTCTTAGTATCCATCATGGTCAGTCAGAAAAGCAACCCCAACCTTCCACTCACCCTTACCACAGGGGTTCTCACCTCTCACCTGAATTCTATAGACTGTAGAATTCTGCAGAACAGAAACCATATTCCCAGCACTGCACTGCTACGACCAGTGGCAGAGACAGATACTTAGCACGTGAGTGTTGAGTGGGTCCCTGGGGTCACTGAAGTCCTGTCCCAGTCCCAACTCATTTTCTAAATGAATTCATAAAAACTATAGGTCCAGTATTGTCAAACAGCCCTGTTTAATAACTTCAGCATTCAGAGTGGTTGCATAGCATAAAGAAGTCAAAGAAATGGGTTCAGTGTGTTCTGATTCCAATCAAGAAACTATTCTGTGCTTCCTCTGTAGAGCCAGGTGGGAAGCAGTGTCCAGGGCAACCAGCAGCAGTCCTTCCATACTGCTGGACACAGCAGGGCAAATTAAGGACAGCTCAGAAAGACAGGAATCCATTCCCTTTTATTTTGCTATTTGATACCTATCTAAGAGACATAATTTACATACCCTTTGAAACAATAAATTCCACTTTCAGGAATAAATTCCAAAGAAACAATCATGACTGTAGACAAGGATGTAGCTATAAAGGTGTTCATTAAAGTGCCGGAATAATGCCAAGCAAAATGAACAAATTTGATGTAAGATACTGAAATATTGGTTAAACAGAAATAATGGGAATCATAAACATTATTGTTACTGAATACATGCCAAACTCTCCACATATTTCATGTAATTTAGTACTCATAATTACTATATGAGATAATTACTACAATAATCACCATTCCCATTGTATAGATGTTGAATCTGGGGCTCAGAAAGGTTAAGAATTTTGCCTCACATCACACAGCTGAAAGATGGAGCCTGAAGTTCAAACTGACTCTTTAGTAGTTTGAATCCCCTTGTGTTAGTCAATAGCTATACTGCCTCCTGGGCTGCATTTTTATCAATGGAATAGTAAGCCACTGTTAAAATAGTTATTAAAGAAGATTATTTAGGGGCTGGGATTGTGGCTCAGTGATACAGCGCTTGCCTAGCATGTGTGAGGCACTGGGGTTCGATCCTCAGCACCACATAAAAATAAATAAATAAAATAAAGATATTGCGTCCATCTACAACTAAAAAAAATTTAAAAAAGAAGACTTTTAATAGCAATGTCATAGGCTGGAAATATATTAAAAATGAAAAGCAGGTTATAAAATGTAATGTACAAAGTAATTCCAATTTTGTAATAAAAAGCCAAATAATAGAAAATAGGGACATATTGCAAAAGAATAGAGTTAGAGACACTAAAATATTCATAGGGTTGTAAGATTAGAATTGACTTTTACCTTCATATTGCTTATCTTTATTTTTTATATTTTATCAGTTCACAATGTATTTCTTTTTAAAATACAAAAGTCATTTCTAAAATTAAATGTTAACCCCTTTTCAGATTGAAGCACTAGACATCTCCATGATTGCTGCTCTTCTCATGCTATTGGAACACTGGATCCGGAGCAGCCAGTATAAGGTGACAGGGAGGGCAGGGGAATGCAAGATGGCTTCCTCTTTGCCCTCTGACGGAGAATTAGAGCCACAACTAGAGTGTAGAGAGGGGATGTGCAGCAACACCTTCAACTGGCTTGACTCCAACAAGGGTTGCCACATACCTCTGTCTATGGTTTTGCCATCTTGTCTGGCTGATAATCATGGTTTCTTGCACTCACGTGTGGTATTGATGAAGACACTTCTCATCAAGAGCATTAAAAATACCAGCCTTATGTTGCAGTAAAGCCATAAACTTAACTATTTTGCAAAAAGTTTGGTGGCCACCAATACCCATAGCTTCAGGTATCGAGGAGAGGCTTGTCCTTGGACTCTAATCAATGGAGAATGCTTGTGTCTTGGGTGCAGTAGGGTTGAACCAATAGTATTCCCTCACCTGGATGTGCTTGAGATATGCACCCTGCTTCCTTGCAGCACCCACAAGAGGTGATAACTGGATGTCAAGGCAATTATAAACTAAGAGCCACAGACATGAGAGCTGGGAAGAATATTCTCAATAGTCTATACTTGGCATGGAAAAAATGAAGCCATTCACCTTCAAACGGATGACGTGAGCCTGGACCAAGAATAACTCTATGATGACTGTTATAAACAGGCCTGGAGCTCCCCTTCCTATTTACATTTACATATCAGTTAGATCTTTACATTTTTGTATAATCCTAGGGAAGTGAAGGGGCCTCCAAACACAACTGAGATTGAATTTACTATGAACCAGGAAACAGACAAAGCCCAATTAAAACTGATTAGAGAAAAATGCCATTCCCTATTCCTGGATGTTGTGGAATAAATCCATGCTGACCACTTTGTGGGGGTTTCATTCTCAGGGATCTTGTACAGAACAAATCTAGAATTAGAGCCACCTGCTCTTGAAACAATGGCTGTGACCTTGCTGCAGAAATGGGGAGCAAAAACCCCATGCTGAGTCGTGAAATACAGCAATGATGAGAATGAGTGTGAAAGAATCTTGCAGAGTGTTTTAAAATCCCTCAGGACAAGGTTGAAAAAGAAAGGAAGAATGAATGCAGCCTCCATTTCTGAAGAGATTAATTTCTTTGCCAGTGCCAGAAAAACATTGAGAAAGAAAGAGGACAAAAAGGTAATTTTTAAAGGTCCCTATTTCTGACTCCAAAGTTTAAGAAAAAAATAAAGGCAATTTTAAAGCCCAGAACTTCTTTACAGAGAAGGGACATCTCCACTGCCAGAGTCTAGAGCCTAAGAAGAGTCCCATGGCCCCAAGTCTGGACACGTGTCCTAAAGTTTGTACCAACACAATGAGGTGGGTAGAGAGGAAGGTCACTCTTGCTAGGATGGAAATGACAGAAAAGAACAGGCTTCTTTGGGCTGAAATTCTTCCATTGGAGGAAGTGATATCCAAATCTTTGCTCACCAAGATGCCCATGGACAAGAAACTATACTGGTTAGAAAAGAAGTTGAGGGTGTCCATTAAAACCACTAGCATGCTCCAAGTGACCTTAGAGCAAGTTTTGGTACCTGTATATGAATACCTCAGGACAATATTTAAGCCACATGTAGAGCAGTGGAAAGACTCTTGGGTCTCCTCTGAACATCTACACCAAAGTTAGATCTTAGGTCACTAGGGTGCAGGAAAGGGAGAGAGCCTACTGGAAGGGAGAAAATCTTTACCAGTCCTCTGAAAGGGAATTAATATCCAGAATATATAAAGAACTCAAAAAACTTAATACCAAAGAACAACCCAATCAATAAACAGGCAAAAGAATTAAACAGAAATTTTTTTTTAAAAAGCAGCCCAATGATCAATAAGTAAATGAAAAAATGTTCAACCTCTCTAGCATTCAGAGAAATGCAAATCAAAACTACATTAATATTTCATCTCACTCCAGTCAGAATAGCAATGATCAAGAAAACAAGCTATAATAAATGCTGGTGAGGATGTAGGGGAGAAGGGACATTTATACATTGTTGGTGGGACTGCAAATTAGTACAACCACTTTGGAAAGCAATGCTGAGATTCCTCAAAAGAATAGGAACATATCCACCATATGACCCAGCTATTCCACTCCTCAGTATTTATCTAAAAGAACTAAAAACAGCACACTACAGTGACACAGCCACACGTTTATAGCAATGTTTATAGCAGCACGACTCACAATAGCCAAACTTTTAAACCAGACTTGGTGTCCATCAACAGATGAATAGGTAAAGAAAAAGTGGTCTATATACATAAAGGAGTTTGACTCAGCCATAAAGAAGAATGAAATAATGGCATATGTTGATAAATGGATGAAAATGGAGAACATCACACTAAGTAAAATAAGGCAGACTCAGAAAATCAAAGGTCAAATATTTCCTCTCATATGTGGAAGCTAGAGCAAAGTAAGGGGGGCAAAGGTGGAGGGGGAATTGAATGTTATAAGGACAGAGGAAAGATCAGTGGAGTAGAAGGAGGTTGATGAGGAAAAAGGAATATTCAAAATTTAGCAGATAAATGGGCAATAAATGGGAAAGGGGAGGAAATGAGAAATGAATTTGACAAAATTACACTAGGTACATGTATAAATATGCCACAGTGAATTTTACATATATATATATATTTTTTTTTTTTTTTCTAAAAATAAATAGATAAATAAAGAGAAGGGAAACCAGTAGAGTAGAGGAAGGGAAATAGGGAAAGGGAGAAGGAGAGGGAAAGAGGGAGGGCACCAGGGACTGAAAGGGAGCAAATTAAATTATTATTACATATTATTATGTCAAAATGAATCCAATTATTATGTACAACTATAATGTACTGATAAAAGCATTAAAAATACTTCTTAGACCTTGGCATGGCATCAGTCACATACTATACACACAGTCAAACGTGGTTGACATTAAAGCCGGCTTTCTTTCTTAAAAGGTACACTCATTCTCCCCAGAAGCCTATGGCCACAGGACAAGCATGCTATTAAAACACTACTTTTACTGCTTCTTCTTTTTTTTGTTTTCTTTTTCTTTATTTTAATTTGTTCTAATTAGTTATGCATGACAGCAGGATGCATTTCAATTCATCATATAAAAATAGAGCACGACTTTTCATTTCTCTGGTTGAACACGATGTAGAGTCACACCGTTTGTGCAGTCATATGTGTACCCAGGGTGACAATGTCCGTCTCGTTCCACCATCTTTCCAAGCCCCATGCCCCCTCCCTTCCCCTCACACCTCTCTGTCTCTTTCTTGATTTGTACCCACTGTCCCACTTCATCTTTAAATATGTTTGGGCCATTCTGATTGCTGATGAAAGCAGCAAATGAGCAGTTTCCTCTTGATTTTTAAACCACTGACATTTCTACACCATTAAGCCAAATGAAGTTTTTAGGCAGGAAAGGCAGTTTTCTTTTCTCATATTTTAAAGATGGCACAGTGGCGATTCTGTGATTAAAGTTCTTTGTTTGAATGACAAAGCTTTTGGCCCACTGTGTCCTGTCATTGTCACAGCTCCTCTGATTCAATTAGGGACAGCACACTGGGGGATTTCTGCCTGGTTTCCATGGACCTAAGACTTTTATTTTTATCCTATACTAACTTGGTTTTAAACAAAGCTTTGAAGCTTCCCAGGGCTAATCTCTAATGAAAATGGAGAGGCAAATAAAAAAAGGCTGAAATAAATTCTGATGAAAGCTGCAAAAGTGTTAATTCTGAGAGGCTGGAAGGAGATAAAAATGAAAATGCAGTCTCAAAGAGGCAAAGATGCATTCAGGAAAAAAGGAATATTCAAAATTTAGCAGTGATGAGATTAGTCAAAGCAGTGTGGTTGTACACTGTATTAACATTCTCTGCCGCACAAAGTATCATTTTTTAAAAGCAGAATATTAAGGAGACCAACGAGAAACCATTATTAAATGATATGATTTGCAGGGATTGAGCAATGATACTAAAACAAAGAATATCAAAGCTATTATATCTAAGCCCTTCTTCTTCCTCAATCTTGCCAATTCCTGGAAATATCTTTTCATTGAAAACAGAAGTTGACATCGATGTCAACACATAATACATCATTTTTAGAAACTCTTTAATGGAAACTGATCAGCTGCTTAGGGTTTTTAAGAGGAATTCAGACCAAGTGCAATAGTTTTGAAAAAAGAGTGAAGAATGATATATTTGGTCTATAAAATCTATGCATTTCATCACCACTGAACTATAACTAGGTGAAGGTTAGTTGAGAATGGACAACGTTCTGTTCCACATAGCTCAGCTCAGATTCTTTAAATGAGCAGCTCCAAAACATCATCTTACTCTGGAACCAATTTATAAAACTTGGCATTGCTTGAGTTGGTGAGGAACTTTCTACAAAAGTCACTGATTTTTCAGGACTGAGTTTTACACCCATCCCCCACCCCCACCTGCTGCTTACAGGTGAGTTTTGCTACACACCTATACTTTTCTTTGTCCTCCTCTTCCTGGGTGGCAAACGCCTTCCACTGGAAATGGGCAATAATGTTACTGCGGTTGTGGATGGTCACAGTCCTCTGATTGGCCAGAGATATGTAGGTTTTCTCAATGATCAAGGAGTTTTTGTCCAGCCTTATATTCATGTCTACAGCAGCTCCATAGAGAGACACGTATATCCTTTCACCTAGGATTAACAAAGCACAAACACACTCTAAGATTTATTCTAGAATAACCCTACTAGCCTTTACCTTTTTTTGAAGCTAAAGTCAGGAGACATAGCACAAGCACTAGACACTGCTCATACACCCCCACCCAACTCCATCAGCCCAGAGAACAGACGTGATCAGAAAATGCAAACCTGTGCTTGGTGCAGTTAGAGAAAATCGAACCATCATTCTTGGTTATTGTAAGAAATAGATAAAACATGAATTGTTGCCCTGGGTGTTCCAAGACATTTTCTTTTTCATAAATGGTTTTCAATCTTTCAACCTGACCAGGAGGGCAACTGGGTTCCAGAATTATAATCAGATGCCTCATCTTTAGCTCAGGTGTGAGCTGGCTTTCTGACTCTAAAGGGATCACACCAAGCACACCTGGGAAGAACTACTCTGCATGAGAGGTTTAAAATGCAGTCAAAAACAGGGTCAGGAGAGAAGATTTCGTAACTTCAGAAACAAAAAAATCGAATATTTAAGAGGAATCTCCTCCCTAAGCAACAACAATGAAAACTAAATACATGCATAAAAAAACATACACATACCCTTGCCATATCTGGTACTGGTTATGTAGAAAATAAAAATTAACAGCTACATTTAAAATTATTAATTTTTAGGTATTATATCACCTTTATTCAGCACAGCAGTAAGTCTCTGACTTCATTCACCTGGATTCTAAGTATACAAGACAGACCCCTGGGCTTTCAAAAAGGTACTAACCTATAAACTACACTCTGTTTGACCTCTGCAATGTGATAGCAAGTACATCACTCTATGTCAAATAGAAAAAGGAATAAAATACTGTGGGTGTTCTGTTGGTCTCTGCTGCTAAAGTTTTAATTCAAACTAGAAAGCATAATCACTTGGACCTTCACTTTCAGCAAACATTTCTGCTTTGTTTATTATGGTATAAACCAAATGCCCGTTTAGTGGCCCTTTGTGCATTCTAAAGTTCTTTAGATTCTATCACTTTGGATATGGCAAAACTTACCCAAAGGTTTAAAGAAAAAGAAAGCATCAAGGCTTTGATGCTAAAATTTTTTTAAATTTCTATTTCTATTATTATTTAAAATTTTTATTTCTAAAAATGTATACATGAATTCTAAATTTCAGATACTACAGAGCACAGACAGTGAGACAAAAATGCTTTTTTCCCCTTTATTCAACCTCAGGTATACTGTTTAGAGGTAAAAGCTCTCAATATTTCATGCACATCCTTCCCCCACAAATTTTTAAACTTTTTAATGAGTAAAATTTAATGATCTTATAACTGAAAACTCATTGTTACTTTAATTTGCATACTCTTAATTATGGATGTTATTGAACACCTTTTTCATAAAATAAATGACTTGAGCTGAAAAAAGACCCTCCCCAAATGAAGGGACACTCAAAGGGCTATGCCTTAAAGATAAGAGTGAATTGGAAGTAGATTAGCCCTAAATATCAGAGTTAACTATCATGCAGGAATTGCCTATATATTGCAGAGAACTTCAAGCTCTGAGTTTGGCAGTAATTGACTAGTTTTTAACCCAAAATACTTGGAAGAAGAAACCGATTTCTCTTCAGAGGGCAATATTTGCACCCTATGTTTCAAAATCATCAACATTCTTTTTTAAATCAGCCAGCCAAACATAATGAGACATGCAAAGAATTAAAACAACATGTGTTAGAATCAGTGACACAAGAAGAACAGAAATAGGCTCACAAAGAACCAGATACCCAAAGTCATCAGCTATAGACCATGCACTTGTTGTTATGCTGAATGTGTTTAAACAAACAATTGGATGCACTTGAAGCTATATCCAGAGAACAGGAAATCAAAAACTAAAAAATTCTAAAAGAACCAGGACTTATAGGAAAAAAACCAAAAAATTCTAGACTTAAAAAAAGAAAAACTACAAAGGAAAAGAAAAACTCAAAGGCATACTTAATATGAGAATTTTATTAGTCTTAATGAAAAAATAGTGAAATGGAAAATGGTTCAGAAAACATAAAAGGAAATATGAAGAAATAAAAACATGGAAAATACACATGAATGGATAAGAGATAAGGAAGATGACATAGGAATGTCTAAAAAGTACTTAAGTGGAAACTAAGAAGGAGGGGGGAAAGATAATGAAGCAAAGGCAATATTTCAGATGACTAAGAATTTTTTAGAATCAACTAAAAACATCAGTCCAGAATTCAAGAGGCCAAATGAAAGTCAATGGGATAAATTTTTAATTCATAAAGAACAAAATCATGGCATTTTCAGTTAAATGATGGCATTGGAGAAAATGCTAAGTGAAGTTAGCCAATCCCCCAAAAACAAATGCCGAATGTTTTCTCTGATATAAGGAGGTTGACTCATAATGGGGTAGAGAGGGAGAGCACGGGAGGAACAGATGAATTAGAGTATAGTGGTGTAGGAGAGCATGGGAGGATTAGATGAATTCTAGAGAGGGAAGAGGGGTGGGAGGGAAAGGAAGGGGGAGAGGATTAGCAAGGATGTGTTAGACCAGGACGCAAGGAAAGACCACTGACTCCTATTAAAATCAAATTAAAGCAAGCTTATTATTTTGACCGGCCGGGCTGCCTCTCCCTCCCAAAACGGCGGGAACAAGACAGCACCCCAGCTTTCCTGAAGCTCAGCTTTATAGCCCAGAAAGTTACACAAAGGGGGGTTACAGATAACAGAACTCTGACAAGCATCACACTAATGGTAGTTTACATTTTTTGCTGGCCCCAACATCAGAATTTATGAGGACCATTAGAGCCTCAGAGAGGGTCGTTGTCTGGCCAGGGAAGGCCAATATTTATGAGGTGTCACTAAAGTTTCAGAGAGGGCTGCTATCTGGTCAGAGAGCCAGGCATGGGTGAATTCAAGGCATGGGCAGGCATTCCAAGAAGGTTCAGAATTTGCAGTAATTTATAGTAAAGCTGAAATTATCTTTTCATGGCTTTGTGGCGAGATGCCCAATTTTAAGAAAAGATCAGGTTGGGTCTATCAGATGGTAGAATGTGATGGACATCATTATACAAAGTACATGTATGAAGACTAGAATTGGATCTCAACATACTTTATATACAGAGATAAGAAAAACTGTGGTATATATGTGTATTAAGAATTGTAATGCAAAAAAGTACATGTATGAAGACATAAAATGGCATGAACATATTTTATATACAGAGATATGAAAAATTGTGCTCTATATGTGTAATAAGAATCGTAATGCATTCCACTGCTGTTGGGTATTTAAAAAAATAAATAAAAGATAAAAAAAATTAATTCATACCTAAATACACTGCAGTAAAACTAGATAAAAGCAAAGACAAAGAAAATCTTGAAAACAGCGAGAGAAAAGAGACAAATCATCTTGAAAGGATCCACAGTTGGAATTACTTCTGACTTTTTAACTTAATGAAAACAAAAACAACAGAATAACATTGTATTAACTTTGATGAAGGTGAAACAATGACAACCTACCATTCTACAAAAATTTCTATCCTTATTGTCTACAATTGTCTTGGTTTTGTCTTCACTTTTTAAGGATATTTTCAATGATAAAAGATTCTAAATTAGCATTGTTTTCTTCCAGCATTGAATAACTCCATTTTGTTGTTCTCTGATTTTCCTAATTTCAGCTGAAAAGTTTGCCATTAGTTTTCAGCATTAACATGAAGTTTGGTTTCCTTTGTTTTTGTACTATCACAAGTTTGCTCAGCTTTGTGAACATGTGCATCAATGTCATTGTTGTTTGGGGGAAAATTCTCAGTCAATATCTCAAAATATTCTTTTAGTTCCATTCATCCTCTCCTCCACTTCTGAGACTAGTGATATGTACATTGACTCTAACTATGTCCCACGGGGCTTTTGCTTTCTGTTTTTTTTTTTCCCATTCATATTTGTTTCTCTCTGTGTGTTGCAGTTTGGGGATATTTATTTACCTGTCTTCAGGTTCACTAATCATTTCCTTCTGTAGCTATTCTTCTGTTAAATGTATATAATTAACTGTTAATTTTCAACAATATATTTTCCAGTATAACACTGTTATTAAATTCTGAGGAAGAGAAAACAAGCAGGCCAATCTGAAGGCTAACTGTTCTTCTGAATATCAATGTAAAAATTCTAAATAAAGTTAGATATCATAATCCATCACCACATTAAAAGAATAATACTTCATAACCAAGTGGAGTTTATTTAGGAATGCAATGATGGCTCACTATTAGAAAATTTATCTTCATTGATGCTGGAAAAGAATTTCACAAAATTCAAAACACAGTTTTAAACAGCATTATTTTGAATAGCATTATTCTTAATAACAGGAGAATGGAAAAAGCTAAAGTATCCACCAAGAAAAGGTGGTTAAATAATTTGTGCTTCATCTAAAAGCAGATACCGTCCAAGTGTGAAAGGTATACAGTAAGGAAAGATCTCCAGGACTCATGATTAAGTGGAAAAGGCAATGTGTAGAACAATTTATATAGAATGTTATTTTGTATCAGGAAAATAAGTGTGTGTATTCAGGTTTGCATGTATTTGCATAATCCATTGAAAGGACATCCATGAAACTAATGAAACCAGAGTGGGATTTGGTGAATGTACCAGTGTGGAAACAAGATCTTTCAATATGTAATTTTAAACATTGCTTTAAGTTTGAGCATCACCCATCAAAAAACTAAAGTGAAAAAGGATTTAAAGACCCCTCAATAAATATGTAAAATTGCTAAATGGCACTAGCAGTGCAAGAAATATAAAATAAAATAATATGCTGTCTCATAACCATCAATTTAACAAACAAACAAAAAATCAAGCAATTTGACAATACAGTTTTGGCAATATATCAGCAAGGCTATGTAAAAATAAGAATTTTCATATACTGCTGATAAAAGCATGAATTGGTATAGTCACTTGACAAACCAACTTAGTATTCAGTGTATCTCAGGATAAATTATCCTTATAACTCAACAATTGCCCTTGTAGGTATTT